GAGATTGCAAAATTGAAAATACAGTTTGTAAATGTTGAATATGGTCACTCCAAGTATTACTATAGACAAGGATGTCGTCAAAGAAGACAAGGACAAATTTCCTTAAATATTTTTTGAATACCTCATTCATCAAGGACTGGAATGTCGATGGAGCATTGGTGAGGCCGAAGGGCATTACTAGAAACTCATAATGACCTTGATGAGTTCGGAAAGCTGTTTTCTCGATATCCTAAGGGCTAACTCTCACTTGGTAGTAACCTGACCTGAGATCCAATTTGGTGAAGTATTGAGCACCTTCAAGTTCATCCAGCAGCTCTTCAACAACAGGTATGGGAAATTTATCTTTGACTGTGTTTTTGTTTAATTTCCGGTAATTGACGCACATTCGCCAAGACCCATCAGATTTCTTTACCAATAAAACTGGGGCAGAATAGGGACTTTGGCTTGGCCGAATAATCCCAGCAGTAAGTAATTCTAAAACAATTCTTTCAATCTCAGATTTCTGATAGTGAGGATAACGGTAAGGTCTTACCGAGATGGGCTGCGAAATTTTCAGTGGTATCTTATGGTCCTGGCAGAGTTGTGGTGGCAGCCCCTTTGGTTCGGCTAAGACTACTCTGAATTCTTCCAAGAGATCTTATATTTGAGGATGCAGTTCGAGGATCTTTGAACAAGATGGTGCGTTTCCAGTAATTTGCAGCAACAATCCCCTTTTAAAGAGCTTGACCAGCTGCTCCATATTTCCGGCTGACACAATTTGGTTTTCTGGGATTTGGGAGCCCTGAAAAATTACTTGCTTTCCATTCTGAAAAAATACCATCAAAAGTTTTGAAAAATCCCAAATAATTGGACCAAGTGTACGTAGCCATTGAGTCCCCAAAACCAGATCATAACCCTCCAATGGTAAAATGTACAAATCAATAGTTACCGTAATTCCTTGAATGAGTATCTGAGTTTGATTACATTTACCTAGGCTTATTAATTCTTCTCTGGATGCTACCTGTACCTTCAATTTTTTTTTATTCGTCGATTCAATCCCTGATTTTCTTGCAAATCTTTCACTCACAAAATTATGGGTGCTGCCCGAATCAACCAGAATGGTTCCTTTTGATTTCGCCACCTTTCTGTTGAGTCGCATTGCCTTTGGTCCTTCGAACCCAGCGATTGCGTGTAAAGAAATGGCAGGTACTTCATCTGTGGGATCTTGCTCCTCAATCTCTTGAATGGCTAAGAGCTTTTTACACGTGTGGCCGGCCCCAAACTTCTCGTTACACTTGAAACATAACCCCAATTTCTTCCTTTCGTTGAGCTCCTCTCAGGTCAGCCGCTTGATGTTTCCTATTGGTCATTGATTGGAAACTGGTGTGATTGCAGGGCGGGGTACCTGAGTTGATCGTACTGGTGTGCGGAACCCCTTCCCTTGAGCTGAGTTCCTTGCCTCATAAAGCCTTGCGAGTGCAATAGCCTCTGTTAAAGTCTTGGGCCGGTTAGCTTGTACATCTGTTCTGATTGTTGGAATCAGCCCACTAACAAAACAGCTCACTTGCCTTGTTTATGATAACTGTCCCACCTTAGCCAGTAACTTCTCAAATTGGACCTGGTACTATTGAACAGAACCTTGTTGCTATAGTTTGGATAATTCTCCAAAAAAATCAATGAGTTGATTTGGCCCATATCTTGAGTAGAAGCCTTCTTTGAATTCTGCCCATGTGACAGAAGGGTTTTCTTGTTTCAACAATTGGTACCATAGCTGGGCACTATTGAACAGAACCTTGTTGCTATAGTTTGGATAATTCTCCAAAAAAATCAATGAGTTGATTTGGCCCATATCTTGAGTAGAAGCCTTCTTTGAATTCTGCCCATGTGACAGAAGGGTTTTCTTGTTTCAACAATTGGTACCATAGCTGGGCATCTCCTATCATGTGGAAAGAGGCTATTTCCACTCGATCTTCATCAGGTGTTCGGTGAAACTGAAAAAACTGCTCTGCCCGACAAATCCAACTGGTGGCGTCCTCTTTTTCATCGAACCGTGGAAAGTCCAATTTAACCATCTTTGGAGCATAGGAGGAAGTAGCCCCTGAGATGTTTGATCTGTTTCTGGACTCCGGGGTTTGCACTTCAGAATCGTTGCCCTTCCCTTGGCAGGATTGGGAAGTCAATCGATCCATCCGTACATTCAATTGGGAGAAGAGCTCTTCCAAACGTTTTGCAATTCCCTCTTGGCCCCAGAAAGGGACTGAACGGTTTGTTCCAGTTGTTCCACTCTCTGGTCCATGCCAGAGCTCTGATACCACTTTGGTACGAACTACTGGTTCTTGCGAGGACCTATTATGAAGGAAAGAACAGATAGTTTAAAAGATGACAAAAAGAATTAGATTTGGTTAAATGGAGGAAACCAAGGCCTCAACGTTAAGAACGTTTTGTGTTTTAATCTCATTCCTTGAGCTGTTTTATTCATTAACTTATATAGTAATAAAAGAATAACAGATTAGCTATTAACAAGGAAACTAACTCTGCTATTCCAAAGCAGCTAAATAGCAACAACAAATCAAAACAGAAAATATGCTAGACTTATTCAAAGCAATAAAAGAGCCACGTAACAATCACGTAACAATATTTGATAATAGATCACATTTACTAATCGTCAATCATTACATATAATTCAATATAATAGTGATTTACACTACCGTAGAGCCAATTAGTATTGTTATAAAACCGAATTGTTTCATCATAAATCTGTACTGTACATTAGATGATATATTATAAGAATAAGATGATATATATATATATATATATTATATATATTATATATACTATATATATATATATATATATAAGTTAATTATATATAAGGTTAATATAAATTTGTACATTTTATGAGTAGATATTATCAAAAAGCAAAATATCATTGTTATAACTCCCCCGTTCTTTTTATATAGGCATAATCATATTTTCACTAAAATAAAAAAAATCAGTTTAACTAACTATTTTTCCTTATTTTTTCCTAATTTATTCCTAGTATCACATCAACTCCTCCTCTCAAATGTAAAATTGTCTTTAATAATATTTATTGGTTGAATAATGCAATAAATGTATTGTCTTCCCAAAAAATGGGATATTAAGATATTTAATTTGGGAAAAAAGTTAAAATTTTTGAAACTCAATTATTCATGCTTAGTTGAAATTGTGGTAAATACATTGGCTTCTTAAAAAAAATTAGACCCAATTTATAAACTGGACTGCTCACAAATTTAGACAAATAAATAGTATATCCTATAAAATATGCGCATAAATCATAAATTGGACCGAGGATCAAACGAGAGCCAAAAAAAAAAAAAGGATTGTTATAGGCTTTAAGGGAAGCTTATTATTGGTCCCTTTTTGTACAAGTTGTGTTAAAAAAAAAAAAAAAAAAAGTTTGTGGTTTTAAAAAAAAAAAAAAAAAAAGGACTATCGTTTGCTTAAATAATCTTTCCAATGTACTTGCAGCAACTGCCAATTGAATTTTAAATATTAGAGTAGCCTTCCTACAAAAAAAGGCCAAAGTATATAATTATAACTCAAAAAAAAAAAAAAAAGGACTATTTCGTGCTTAAATAATCTTCCAATGTACTTGAGCAACTGCCAAAGAATTTAAATATAGAGTAGCTTCACAAAAAAGGCCAAAGTATATAATTATAACTCTTAATTGTGCTCCATTTCTAAATTTCATATCATTTTAAAACTCAAGTTTCGTCTCAATCAGAACACAATTTTCTTAACTTGACCATGTTTATTTTTCCAATGTAAATTAAAAGAATAGCAACTTTATCACCAAATTTCCTTCACATTTAATGCCTATCTATACTTTTATTTGTCATTACATGGATAATCTCATATAATAAAATTTTACAAAGAATAAGACAAGGGTAATATAGGGTTTTCATTTTTTTTTTTTTTTCAAGGTTACTAAAAAAGAAAAGTTTGTCTATATAAAAAGAACAACAAAAAAGAAAAGTTTATCTATATAAAAAGAACTGAGAGAGTATTACATTTTACAATTTCACCTATGAATGTTACTCCCTCCATCCTAAAATATTTGTCCTATTGTCTTTTATATAAAATTTAAGAAACACATGAATTATAATGGTCACATCATACAAAATATCCATACTTTTTAAAATTGTCCTCCTCTAAAATAAAAAAAAAAAATTATTCCTAAAATTTAAAACCATTTATAATGAGGAGTACAAAAGAAAAGTAAATATCTCTTTAAGTCAAGTGAATAAACATTTGAAACATCCAAAAATAAAAATATGGACAAATATTTTGGGACGGATGAAGTATAATATAACTTTATGAGATAGTTTATCTAGTAAAAGATTATCTGCGTTTGTGAAATATCATACTATTAAAATTTAGATATAATAAGAAATAAGAATGATATTAAATTAATTCGGAATAAATAGTTTCAACTTATATATACACTAATAATAATAATAATAAAATTGTTGATAATAAAATATGAGAAATGTTTAAAAAACAAGTTTATAAATCGATTCTTTGATTCAGTTCTAGTTTAGTATGTGGTTTCAATATAGTTCTTAGTAAAAACCAAAACTAAAACCGAAACATAAATTGCATCCAATTCTATATAGTTTCAGTTCTTATAATTTGGTTCTAATCGTGCATAATCTCAGAGTTAATATGTTTTCAGAAAAATTTGGAGCGATACAAGATATCTCCAAATAACATAAGAGTGAATTTATATATTATGTATTTACACTTTATTTTCTTTAAATTTATGACAAATTTGGTAATGGTGGTTTCATTTTTGGACCACATAGACCGATGGTTATTATTTTGCTTAGGTAGTTCGGAGCTTCCTCTCTCACATAATTATTAATTAGTCCCACACATGGGATTTAGGCAGTTGCAGCTTGCACGTGAGAAGTGAAGTGGAGAGTAAAACTAATGTTCCCTTTGTCCTGAATAAAGCTACAAATACTGCCATTACCAAACATTCTGTGGCTTCCAATTATTCAATAACTTCAAGAAAGGAAGTTGCCAGGAAAAAGAGAGTAAGAGACCCTTTTTAGCTTTATTAGAAAACCTCCGCCTACATTTCAGCTATATTACCCTACTTTCTTTTTCTTTTTCTTGTACAAGACTGAGAGTTTCTTGATCTCATAGACAATATGAGTATAGGAGTGGTGAAAGTGAAACAAGTGGTGGCTTTGGCTATACTTTTAGTTGGCCTTTGTGGGAAATGGGTTGGGGCAGAGGTGCACCATGTGGTTGGAGGAGATCGTGGTTGGGACCCTTCTACTGATGTGGGTTCTTGGTCTTCCGGTAGAACTTTTAGGGTTGGAGATAAAATTTGTAAGCCTATAATCTATTTCTCTCTCTCTTGCTCTTTTCTTTTTCATTTTTATTTACTGTTTTAATTCTAATGTTATCATGGTTTGGACTGAGAATTCAGTTAATCGAGCTGAACTAAACTAAATCATCTCGATTTTAGTCCAACTAAACCGAAAACTGAGTAAAATCAAATCTAGCTGATTCGGTTTCAGTTTGAATTTTGTTATTTCCAAAACAAACCAACTATTTTAGGAATAAAAATAAATTTATTTAGTTATTCGTAGTAACTAAACTAGATTGGACATTCAAACGGTTTTCTGTAATCAAATGAATGGGTGATAAATTTCTAAAACATTTACTTAAGGTTTTGGCAGTTTGCAGTGCAGGCTAGCCATGCGAGGCTACGATTCTTAGTAAACGCATCTGCAGGTGGGATTAGGAGCCTTAATTATGACTAGCTGTGATTAAATCTCGAATCGAATTAGGCTATCCTAATAATAAGATTTCAGATTGCTGCCGGATGTTTATACCAAGAAAAATTTTCTAAAGCATTTAACTAAACTAAACTAAATAGATGATTTTGGTTCGATTTTAAGTCAGAAACCGAATATGGCTTACCCTAAGAAAAATTATCATAATATATTTTAATTGCTTTTTTTTCTAGTAAGAACCAACAAGATGTAAATAAATTCATTTATATTAGATGATTTCATTGGATTTATTTGGTGTATGCCTATGCACCATATCTAGATAAGTGTTGTGATATTGTACATAAGATTTTACTACTAAGCATGTCGTTTAATATCTTTTACTTTTGTTTTTTCATACTAATAGATAATAATTAATAGGTTGATAAAATAAAGAAAAATTAATTTTTATGGTTTCTTTTATAATAATCTATCTTTTTGAATTTTAAATTAATTAGGAAAAAACAGAATGTCAACAATAAATTACGAAAGGTTTAACTCGATCTGATAAAGATTTTATAATTTCTCTTTCTCATTGCTATCTTATGTCACGTGATTGTCACGGGGATATGACCTTTGCTGCTGGGCTATGAGCAGGGTTCACATACTCCATGGTACACGGAAATATAGCTGAACTCAAGACCAAAGAAGAATACGAATCGTGCGATGTAACAAACCCAATCAGAATGTACACGGACGGCTTAGATAATATCCTGCTTGAAGAGGAGGGGATCCGCTATTTCGTAAGCAGCAACTCGAAAAGCTGCAAGAAAGGCTTGAAACTCCACGTCGAGGTGATGCCACAGCGGACACACGATCATGATCCTGACTCTCAAAAAGTCAGTACATCAGAGGGATCTGCTTCGACCTTTGCTGATGGGCCAACTCCTTCTGGTACAGCCAACCTAGGTGCAAGTTATGTTTTCTTGGTTGCTGGATTTTGGCTGTCCTATTTAATCTTTATGGGTATTTAGGTTCAAGTTAAATTATGGAGCGCTATGTCGTCTGTTTAATAGGTACTTGCGATTGTAATAGCTTGTGATTTAATTATCTAATGCAAAATCTTTGAATTAACGATAAGATTATATATTTTTCATGGAAATTATGTTTAAATTATTGAGGAAAATAAATTGTTCCTCTTTCTTTTTATTTTAACCTATACATTTTCTATTAAAAAATTTATTCTTATTTTAGTACAAAATGATTTAGAGAAAACAGCTTAACTCGATTTAAATTTTTAATTTTCTATACAATACAATGAAATAGACTTTCGATCGTTAAACTACTAATTTAATAATTATAAAATTTGTTTTTAACAAAATGATTTAGAGAAAACAGGCTTAAACTCGATTTAACATTTTAAATTTTCTATACAATACCAATGAAATAGGACTTTATCGATCTTGTTAAAACTACTAATTTAAATAATTATAAAATTTGTTTTAGCTATCTATAAATTCATCTTTTTCTATTACAATGAAATAGACTTTCGATCATTAAAATTACTAATTTAATTAATTATAAAATTTTGTTTTACTATCTATAAATTCATCTTTGTTGTTTTGCTAATTCTTTACCAAAAACACGGTTTGAAAAAATTTGTTTTAGTTATCTATTTTTAAATTCATCTTGTTCTTTGCTAATACTAAAGTCACATCCTAACCTAAATTTGTCTTCTTGCTAAATTATAAATTCGGACTATCACTATTATCAAACACTTAAATAATTTTGTTTTAGCTATCTATAAATTCATCTTTGTTGTTTGCTATTATTACCAAAAACACGTAAAATTTGTTTTAGTTATCTATAAATTCATCTTTGTTCTTTGCTATTATTACTAAAATCACATCCTCAACCTAAATTGTCTTCTTGCTAAATATAAATCGTACTATCACTATTTATCAACACTTAAATAATTAGATCTGTTGAGCGAAACTAACTGTTTTGTTAGCATTTTGAGAAACTTTTCATAAAACGTTAAAAATTTAACTTTACATGAAATAACTTTTATAAATCGTTAATATTGAACACTATAAAAAATAACATATAATCAAACGCAAAAAAACTACTTGAAAAGTTATTGCCGAAAACCACCATAATCTTGACAAGCTACTTAGTCATAACCCAATGGTCATAATCTTTTTATAAAAAATAGCATTTAATCAAAAATAGCATTTAGTCAAAATGCTGAAAGCTACCTAAAAAATTTATTACCGAACACCACCATAGTCTTGACAAGCCCACCAACATCCAATGGCCACATAGCACGTTCTGTTTGAATGTACAAAATAGATTTTAACCACATCCACGCTACTACAAAATGGATTTTAGCACTTTTCTGCTTGAACCGAAATAGTTTTGGTTCGTTAAAAACACATGCCAAAAATATTATTTGGGCAGAAGTATGAACATTATTCGAGCTCTGATTATCACATACAGAACGACCATTAAAAGTTAGTGAACAAGAAAGACTTCTCAACAGCAGCTAGGAAATTTTACATTAACATGTTTCCTTGTCAAATTGGCATATGCTAAAGAGCATATCCCAAGCATCAAGTTCATAGATTGGCGAGTTTTGGGGTCGGCAGTAGAATTCACGTATAAGGTTAGAAGCATAAGCTCGCAGTTTCTTAAAGATATATGAGACAGACAAAAGAAAAAAGATCTATCTCTCTCTTAAAACAACATAGTTAGATCCACTGGTCTTCTGAATTTTAGATATTCTTCTCAGGATTTCTGCAAAAGCCTTCTTATCCTGCAACAATAAGTTTTATGCTCTCAGCACAACCAAAACCTTCCAGCATTTCCATCACTTATTGTGTTTTTAGATGCAGAAGCAAAAATCTTATATATTATTACTTTGTTGCAAGCAAAACTCAAACCTCCATCCCACCACAAGTGTTGCACAAGTATTAAGGAAATCATTAAATAACATCAATTCTGGACATAAAATAACATTTTTACCAATTATCTACACAGTTAATGCAATAGTTGTGAAAAGCGCACCTGACTCAAGGCCCAGGTCCTGAAGCCTTCAGCAGAAAGGCGCACACATCCAGAAAAAAGATCTTGCCTAGGTGCAGGCGCAAGGGGAAAAAGAAAAAGGTGCACACATTGTGTTTTTATGCCACAAACAGATTTTAGGTTTTTTTTTGTTTTTAAATGTATGCTGTCCAACAGTGTTTATATAGACTTCTATTATTAATAAAGGCTGCTGAAATTAATTATAATTTATATATAAGTTAATTAATTTAGTTCTGTTGAAATTATGATTTATAAACACATTAAGTTATTCAAACCTATAAGCTGATATATGTAAACACATCAAGTTTTTCTAAACACATCAAGTTAATAATTTGCATGGAGACTTTAATCAATTGGAAGTTGCAAGTAAAAAGTTTTTTGTACAATTAATTAGATAACTACTATGAAATTCATTTATTCATATTTTATAAAAATTGTATATGTATTAATTTATTTGTTCAAGAAATTCAAATGCACTAAGTTCATTTGTCAATTAAAGTTACATACACTGCTTTACTTGAGGAAAGACTTAACTTTTTAATGCTTGTAGAAGTTTTAAATTGCAATGACCTGAAATTTTAATGTTTATTGTTTAGAATGAAATAGGACTAGGACAAAAGATGGTATGAACCGGATGTAGAAGAATAATTTTTAAGTTCTTTTATGCATAGCCTTTCAATTATATTTAGATATTCCAAGTATTAAATGGTTTATATGTTTTTATATTATTAATATGCAGTTTTTGTTCAATTTTGGAATTATTTTATATTTTTTTCCTTTTTTATTTTGGATTAATTATAAATTTAGTATCTCAACTTTTGAAATTTTTCTATTCTAATGTCTCAATTGAAAACGTTTGCAGTCAGATGTTTAAACCCCAAAAAGATTTTCAATCGAGTGTCTCCAACTTACGTGGCAAGCCGGAAATACAAATAGGACAGAGGTATTGTGCCACAATGGAAGTTTTTTGCTGACATGGATATTATACCACCACCATATCCAGCTCAGCATTCACAACATTATCAATGCTCATTTAAAGCCAACGGAGCGGTGGAAGAGCAATAGAGTTGGCATCACAAAATCGTCTTCTAAATCCAAGAAATTGCCCAAACACGCCGCTACTATCAACTCTGATATAACTCAACCAAAGGCCTTGATTTCTCATGGTGCTCCGGCTCTTCAAGATCTCCTATTCTCTCTCTTTCTCTGTAATAAGTGTATTTCCTTTTCGTCTCTCCGATTTTGCATTTATTTAATTCTTTTTTGTTGCTTGTAATTTTTAGGGCTTACTCAATGCATTTCTTTAAAGTTTGATCTTTTTGTTGAAAAATTGTAGGCTTAAAAATTTTGAATAGTAAAATAGAATTTTTGGGAGGAAACTTCTTTTAAAATATTTTGTAACTCACGCTTAAGCACATTTTGACACTATTTTTGCCCAAAATTGTTAGTATAAACACGAGAAAAAGGAAGCCAATAATAAATTTGGTTATAGAAGTTAATAAGGTTAATCTCTTAAATGATTTCGGGTTTTCGGAAAAATAAATATGTGAATGAGCTTTCCCTGTTTTTGTGAAACTGAGAACAATATTATGTTGTCAGGTAGATGAAACTGGGGTGTAAAGTGTAATCATTTGGAATTAGCACTAGCTTGTTTGCATTGTTTCTAGGAGAAGTAATAATTCTTTGTGCTGTCTTCTTGATTGTAATAGATGATTATGACAAACAAGAGGATGTATTGAGGCAATTTGAATGTGTGTTTTGGGTTTGCAGGAGAATGGATATGAACCCACCTAAATAAATTGCTTAGCTTGCTCCAGGAGAGAGAGAGGGAGAGAGAGAGAGAGTGAAGTGAGCAAGTAGTGACAGAGGAAGAGAGACAGAGAAAGGAAGGAAAGAATGAAAGTGAGAGTAGTGACAGAGGAAGAGAGAGAGAAAGAAGGTGATGTTGAATATTTGTTTTTGATGATAAATCACAGTAATGAACTAAGAACGTGGATGCAAAGAAAGTAATTAATTTTGTTTGTGGTGGTGGTATAATATCCATGTCCGCATTCATATCCATATCATTAAAAAAAATACATTGTGGCACATCTTCTCTATCCTATTTATATTTCCAGTTTGCCACCTAAGCCAGAGACACCTGATTGAAAATTTTTTTCGAGTTTAAACACCTGATTGCAAACATTTTCCGTTGAGACACTAAATAGAAATTTATGAAAGTTGAGTCACTAAATTTATAATTAACCCTTTTATTTTTGTACCTCACTTTGCGCCTAGGCTTCAGTACCCTTTTGCAATTTGTGCCTTTAACAACTATGATTAATTTAACTCAATGGAAATATCAAAAGACAAGTGTAAAGTTGGAAAAAAGATTTAATTAATTTTTTAAGATGACAAATGAAGTGAGACAAAAAAAAATTTCTAAAGTGACACTTGAAATAGGGCAAGGTAGTATTTATCTGTTTAATCCTCATATTGTGACAGGACATACGAGGCCCACATATTCTAGAACGGTACTAAATGTTTCAAGCACCACATGAAAATTTATTTCCTGCCGTTACAAACAAAGCAGATATTTTAAAAGCATGTACATCCTTAAGGTGATGCTAAATAACCAGAAGCACTACGTAACAGCATCAACTAACAATTAAGGTATTAATCATTTCTATCCAGGGTGAATCAGTATCATGCAAACAGGCAGTAGGTGAGATATTTGACAGTTATTTGCAAAAGTAGCAAAATAAGTTCAGTGATGATTGAAGGCAACTGAAGCACCTGCATGCAAAGGGATAAATAAGAAGTAACATACCTCAGAACCTTTCAGTCGCGATTTAAACCGAGCAACAAGATCCTGTGTAGTCACTGGCCCATTTTGCAACAAAACAGCCCTGATCTCTTCTTCAGTGACAGGTGATGTTGAACCTGGTTTCAATGATGAAGTTGCCCCTTTAGGAGTCGGGCTACTTTTAGCAGTAGGCGCATGTTCTTCTTTCACAGTAGGTTTTAAGTCCTGAAGCACAGGAAAACACAATTTATCAAAGAAAATTGGTTAGTCGTTTGATACCCAAGCAACTTATATTATTCAAGGAAGACAAGTAGAATCATCAAAACCAGCACCATACATTTTCCGCCTTCACTTTCTTTTGAGGTGCACCACTAGATGTTTTTGCATCATCACCACTTAATTTCCTTTTTCCCTTTGCTGACTTGGAATTAGACGGGGTTCCCTTAGCAGAACTAGAAGGCATTGGTTTTGCAGGACTGTTGTCAACAGGTTCCTCCTTAGGTGCATCCTTCTGCTTTGGAGCCAAGACAGGAGAAACATCTTCTTCCATCTAGAAAAAAACCCAACATGTGAGTAGAAGACAAGTGAAGGCATAATCAAAATACAGAGTCACCTATCCAAAATAAGAAAAAAAAATTATCACAGCAAAGCATGAAATATTAGTCATGAAGCCGCACCAAACAAGTCATCCATATAGCAAGGAAATTCAATTACCCATCGCAAAAACTTACATCCTCATCATCATCGTCATCTTCTGCATCTGAATCATTCAGTCCAGCAGCTTTCCCAAGAAGCTTCTTCAACTCTTTACCAGATTTACTCAGTCCACCTTCCTCATTCTCTTCATCTTCATCTTCTTCATCCTGAAACATAAATAAATAAATAAATAAAAAGCCAAAATAACATCCATTACAATGTATAATTGAAGAGGGCCACAAACTCAGTGATCCATTTGAAATATTCAGTCACAATAAAATGTCTGATTGATTCAGAGTCCTGGAACTCATATTCCATTTTTATTTCACAGCAAATCATAATACAAAAGTTTAAAGTTTAATAAAATAGACATCACATATTATATTGTCACTGATTCTTAAAATAATTTTCTCTCTCCTGCTAAATACGGATCTCTCTTTTCATCACAAAACGTATCTTATTATACAAATTCAATTCAGCCCACATGTATCTTGTGACCATGAGTAGGATACAGATACAAACTACTGCATCCAGCACAATAAAAAAGACATCAGACCTAGCATGCACAATAGCTAAGGGGTGCGCATTGGCAATTTCCATTCATGTTGGAATTCAGAAAAAAGTAACTGAAATTATATAACCTTTTAATCAAACTGATTAAATTTGTAAGAAACCAAATACACTCAATTATGAAGATCAATTTACTGAGAAAAGAACCATGTTTTCTGCTATGAAGAGGAAAAAATGAAAAAAATAGAAGTGGAGGACCAATAATTTGAACCCTGATTAAAGAAATATTCATTGATAATGATTAGTCATTACTTAGCAGGCAACATAAAGGACACTAATTAACTCCAAACTCACAAGTAAATAAGAAATTTCAGTTTTTTTTTTAAATTATTCAACAAAATCCTAAAGAAATGCCACCTAGAAGCTCCATGAGTGGCATGCAATACGGGCTGAAATAAAGATGATAAAAAAAAACCTTTGGCACCAATCTCAGAAAATCACCAAAATAGATTTTGATATGCTCCAGGACATTGAGAAATCAGTCCATGTAACCTTGTTTACTAGCGTGAACCCCAGTACAAAAACAATGATTTCAATAGGCATTGTAAATGTGTCGCAACTGAGACTTGGATGTGTGGTCAGTTTTTTCTATACAGAAGGAGATGAGACCAAGAAAGAGATTTCGAAACTGAGATATATGCGAGATGAGAACAAGACCAAGAAAAGAGGTGACTGGTCACAGGAAATTAAAGCAAAATGCAGATGTAGATGTTTTATCATTAGAAACAACACTGATCATATGGTATAAGGAAGCATAAACATATTTATGTATTAGTAAGTTTCGAGCAGTTTATACATTATTGTTACTGTAGAATTGAACTGAATCATATTAGCAGATTGCTTCATTTTCATCTTTTCGTTTAAAAGGTGCTAACCCCTAACAACATGCCAAGCAAGTTCGCAGCAATGGATTTAGTTTCACTGCCAAATTGACCAAGTAACACAATGATAGTTCACTAAATGCATTAGTAATATCTTGACTGTTGTCAAAATTACTAATTTTATATCATTAACATATCAGATTGATCATTCAATCTATTTACAACTTGCACATACTGTATGGCACCAGGCATGGAAACCAGTTTCCACAGTGTCAACAAAGTCCATTCTCCAATTGAAAAGATAGAATCATTAGTGCATACATTGACTATACAAAAAACTGACATCCCATCATTAATATCACTTATGATGAAGCCAATTGATACCAAAATGGTCAAAGACATAATAATGCAAAAAAGAGCATATGTCCCATTAATAACCAAGCATTCATTTTCAGAAATGAATACAGACCTGCTTGATTTCTGGAGGAGCAGGAACCTCAGGAGCCAAATCTTCCCGTTCCTCAGGATCATTACCAACAGCTTCATCATCATCAGTGAAAATTTCTTCATGCTCCCAATCATCACCTAAGATTCAACAAATACACATTCCTAAAGTGAGGACCACTGGAAAAGGTAAATAACAGACCGAATTTCATGCAGTTTAAAGTTTATTAAGAAAAAGTCTTTCCCCAGATTCAACATAAATCAAGTTCGCTGACCTAGGATTAATGGTTACAGTATTTTATTATGTATGTTAGAAAAAATAGAATGCCTCCTCATAAGCGCAAGACAGGGATTAACTAATATCCAAAATCTGTAGCTATTCACAGATTAAAATTGTTAAATAAAGAAATTAGATATTCATTGCAAGAGTTTTGAAATCTATAAGATCATTTCAAAGAAATGCTTACCCTTCTCACTATCATCATCATCCATATCATGATCTCCTCCCCTTAGACCTTCCTCATCATCATCACCACTGCGTTTGTTTAGTCCAAGTCTATTTTTCCTTGCTGCCTCCTCTTCTTCATCTTCCTCCGCCCTGTCAGACACGTTGCCTTCTTCTTCATCACCAGCTGGTTTTTTACGGCCACCTTTTCCACCAGCAGTTCCACTTTCCTTATCATCAAATTTTTCAACTTCGCCAAATGCTGCAGCACCATTATTTGCAGCTTTCATCATCCACCTTTGGTATCCATCTGCAGTCTTTCTCCTGTTCTTCATCTTCTCTTCTGCTTCCTCCAAGGTAAGTTGCTTATACTGAGCAACCTTGTTAAAGTTATACCTGCCAAACAAGTCAAGCAACTATTATGTCCCTAATTCTTAAGAGAAAAAAGCTTAACTCTATAACATAGTGATGTAGAACCAGGAAAGAAAATCAAAAGACAGAAAAACAGGCATGTGAACAATACCCGCGGTAAGGATGTAAATGAACTAAGCCAGCTCACCTGCTATTCGAGCTCGACTTGAAAAAAGTTCAAAAAAGTTAGGTTCGAATCAACCTCGAGCTAACAATTTTCAGCTCGAAAACTCGTCGAGCCTTATCGAGCTTCTGTATATATAATATTTATTTTAGGCTTACTTGAGCCAAGCTCGATCTGAAAATTTTTCAAGTTGAACTTGAGCCTTAAGTCGAGCTCGAGCCTAAAATTTTCAGGTTTGTCGAGTTTCCAACCAAGCTCAAGCAGGCTAAATTCTATCGAGCCAAGCTTCGAGCCTGGCAAGTTCGAACTCAACTTGCCTCGTTTACTCACCTATCCGTGGTATGCTAGCACCAAGAGAAAAGAAGAAAAACTAGGCACTTCCAGTCAAATTCTTATTATTCCATTCTTAAAGTGAAGAAAAATACAGGTCATTTTGGCATTTAAGTTGTGCTACTCCAAACTAGGAAAATTAAACTGGTACCATCAACAACAACTAAACTTTAGTTTCCAAACTAATTGGTGCTGACTATGAGAATCTTTTGTTTTCAGTATCTGCTATAATCAAACTAATAGCAATACAAAGCAAAGTGTACAACAATAACAACAACAACCAAGTCTTAGTCCTAAACTAGTTGGGATCTACTATATGAATCCTTTGTTTCAAATATCCGCTCTCAAATTAATATTAATGGAAAGCAAAGTAGAACTTGGAAAAACTTTTTAAAATAGTTTTTGGAGAGATCATTGTGAAAGGAATTTTAAAATCACTTGATACATTGAAATATTAATAAATTGAACAAAGCATAAGATAGGCAATAAATACCAATAAACTAGGATCTATTCTATTATGTTCATAGTTATATCACTAATATTCAAAGACTGTAGATCTTTCATGATAACTTCCTTCCAAGCAATTCTAGGTCGACATCTCTCTTTTTTAGCACCCACAGCTATCAAAGCATCACATTCATAAACAATGACATGTTGGAGCCTACATAAAACAAGGACGGTACTATCTTAGACATCCTCTCATTTTATTTCCAAGGTCTACATAAAACAAGGACGGTACTATCTTAGACATCCTCTCATTTTATTTATAAAACAAGGACGGTACTATCTTAGACATCCTCTCATTTTATTTCCAAGGTCTACATAAAACAAGGACGGTACTATCTTAGACATCCTCTCATTTTATTTCCAAGGTCTACATAAAACAAGGACGGTACTATCTTAGACATCCTCTCATTTTATTTCCAAGGTCTACATAAAACAAGGACGGTACTATCTTAGACATCCTCTCATTTTATTTTATTGCCAGTCTCCCTTTCACTTTGCTAGATATCTTCCTATCGTAGAGCACACATGTAGCCACTCCTGCATTTCATCCATCTTACTTGAATTCTATGACAAACATCTTCATCTATAAAACCCTCTTCTGGAAAACTGAGCCTAGATATTTAAAGTGATTGCACTTGGGCACCACTAGACCATCTAATCTAATCTCACTTTCATGTTTTTTACCTAAGACCAAACTCGCGATGCATGTATTCCATCTTACTTCTACTTAGCCTAAAAACATTATCCTCAAGAGTTCTCCATAGTCTCAACTTTTGGTTTAATCTTCACTAGTTTCATCAGTTAGAACAATATCATATGTGAATAACATGCAGCAAGAAACATCCTCTTGCATATTAATAGTCAGCTCATCCATTATTAGGTAAATAAGTACAAGACCAAAGTAAATCCATGGTGCAGCCAACTGTTATGTGGAACCCCTCGTATCCCTTCCAGTTGTTCTCACATTGGTGACTGCATTTTCATACATATTTCTAACCACGTTTACGTACTTGGTATGAACTCCCTTTTTCTATAATAATCACCAAAGTACTTCCCTCAACATTCTGCCTTTGTTGTAGATCTACCAGACAAATCCAAATCGATTCTCCAAAACCTTTATAATCTCTCTAAGTCTGTTCTACTATTCCTTCCTAAAGCTTCATTTTATGACTCATAAGTTTAATACCACGGGAGTTCAAACAACATTGGATATCGTCCTTATTCTTATATATTGGTATCAAACTGCTTTTTCTCCACTTATTTGGCATCTTTTACCTCTAAGGATAGCATTGAATAACTTGGTTAACCAAACAACTCCCACTTCCCCAAGACTCTTCTAGGCCTCCATAAAGATACCATCTAGGCCACATGCTTTTCAACCTCCATATGCTTCAAAGCATCCTTGACCTCAAAATTAAACTAGTACCAAATAGGATAAATAGAAAACAACTTTTAAGGTGTTCCTACTTATAATAAAAATTCCTAAATACTACTAAATACTGTTAAACCACAAATTTCCCAAATTAATACTTGATTTTAAGAATAAAATAAAAACAATATTTATGTATATTTTCCTTGATTGCATAAAAATAACATAAAAATAAATAAATAAATAATTCTAGCACAGATTCAACTATTTTTTTGAAATTTAAACAAAGAAAGATAAGGATGCTAAAATCCCTTAAAACATTCTCCTATATATTACATTAATTGGAATAATCTATTGGGGACATGATTCACCCTAATCAATTGGTTAACTAGGAGAAAATTGTTATTTTATAAATATGGTATTCATCTTAAGAATTATGGCATTATTTGCTTCAACCAATTGTTGGCCAAAGGTAAAGTTATTCCTATACATATATAATCATATATATGATAATCATTCTAAGATTTGGGACATGGTTTCCCCAGTCAATTGGTTAGCTAGGGCAAGATTCAATTACACACATCTATTTACTTGTACAAAATTCTAAAGAGGATTGCAGGCATGACTTTTTCCCAATCAATTGGCATGATTTGCTTTTTTCATTTTCTTTTTTTCTTTTTTTGTCTTAATGAAAAGGTAGAAGAGGCATGCCTAGGCAAGCACCTTGCACATTGCCTAAGGGTTTAAGGTGCAAGAGCAGTACCTCTTGCCCCTTGCAGTTGAGGCGCTTTAATAACTATGCTTTATATTATCATCTTGCAAAAGAATGGGTAGACAAATTTAAAAAGAAAAAATGTCAGTATCCATTTCCAACATGAATAACATAGCAAGTAGAATGACACATAAGTTATTTTCTTTTTAAGACTTGCAGAACCTAAAGCAAAGAAACATTAACGGCAAATATATGAAGATATCATGCATACCAAGAACCAGCAGGAATAGCAACAAACTCTTTCCCCTGCAATATCAATAGGTAGTAAGTTGCTGATTGTGAACCTTCAAGATGGCCTTGGTACTGAGACTGACCCGTTTCATCCTCCAACATCCAAGGCTTATTCCTGTATTTCTCCTATGCGGTACAATGTTAAACAAATAAGAATGATCAAACACTAATAAAAATGTACATTAGCAAAGGCAACATACAAACAGTTTCATCTTCATCAAATCAGAATAAAAAATATATATTAAATCTAAAGAATCAATTACAATCAACCACACATAGTTGCTCACCCATTGAATGAATTATCAACCAAATGTACATCTTCACCTTTTCCTCTATTTTCTTTTATTTTTATTTTTAACTTCACACCGTTTTTAACAGTATTTAAACCTGTAAGTTGTACTATAAAGCTGTGTTACAGATTGAATGATACACAAGTCACAAAATAACACCATGATACCTTGTCAGCAAATATTTTCTATGTAAAATAATTGAATCCAGTATTTACTTTTGTACAACCTTAGGAAGTTGTTTAAGCATTTTTCGATGATGGAGGTTCATGGGATAGAAGTATTATTCAGTGAACAGAGCTTTGCAGGCAAGGGAAGGTATAAGATATGTTTCTCCATTTCTCCTGGTTTAGGAATATATTTTTATACAACTGCTGACACCTTTCTCACCACGTAACACATCATCTTAAGTTCAACCCTCCCTTTTCTTATATCGTACCACTTCTATATGCTCAAACACAAGGAAGTCAACTGTCCTTTCACCATTAAGTTCAATTCTGATTTGGACTTTGTTACTGATTCAAAATCCAAACCACTTTGCTATGCAAAATCAAGCCAAATCCAAGTATGACTTCATTGAACTATTATGATAGCATCCAATGCTGACAACCATATACAGGTTTTAAAAACCAATTTAACTACCTGTAAGCAATAGCAAAATGTAACGTAAAGCCAATAGCAAATGAGGACTAAATACCCGCAAAGCATCTGTAAGTTGACGTCCTTGAAGTCCATCTTTATGGAGAGACCATTTGTTCTCGGCACTTTTCTTCTTTGAAAAACTGGGTAGCCCAGTCACAAATCTACCAATAAAGTAATTTTTGTCACTGCTAGAACTTGCTCGAACATTATACTCCTGAAGAAACCAACCAAAAGACATATATATGTTCAGCTTTCAAATAAAAATATAAATAAACACATATACTGACAAGTCAACCACTAAGAAGTCCCATACAAGACAGGAATATGTTCGGAATAGGCAAAAATTTCTTGAAAGTAAAACAATATTGAGACTACAAAAAACCTTAAAAATCATATTTACATTGATCCTCATGCAACAACACATTGTTATTTATCTCTTCCTTCTATGAACAGTGCAAAAGGAACTTAATTATAAGCCATTGAGGACCATCAAGAGTTTGAATTTTGAAAGAAATAATGGAATAACATAAGCAAACAAAAATAAACAATATAAAATTATTACTTCATCACATCAAATTCCTTGTATCAAATCTTAATATTTTGTTCTATGCAAAGCATTGTGAAAATCAAATCCGTGAGAGAGAGAGAAATCAAGGTATTTTTTTTAGCAGTATTGAACTGTTTAAGTGATGAGAAAAGCAAACAAACGGAAAACAAAACAGAAAATTGAAATGAAAAAAGGCACAATTAGAATTAAAGAGAAAAAAAAACAAACTCGAATCAAACGAGTGACTGTAGCACCACAATCATAGCATTTCCCACGGTTCTCAGCCATGGTTTTGCCACAAGTCAAGCACAGGGTCATGTGTTTGCAGTTGCTTCCATATAACTCTTGGGTCGATCCACATCCACTACATGATGGCTTCAACATAAGATCAAACGACATTTTCTCCTCCACCTTCAAAACTAAAAAACCTCACGTTTTCCAGAGAAGTAAATCAAAGAGAAATTGGAAGAGCAGACTACAAAGGATCAAAGAAAACCACATAACATATGATTTCGTCAGACAGACAAGCAATAAAAGATGGACATTAATAATATTATTCATTATTTTCGAAAGTAACTCAGATACCTATCTTCAAAGATATATCACTTTGATGAGATGAGAGTTCTGAAGTACTTGCACCCTTTTTTATTTTAAATTTCTTTCTAAGACCTATGTTCATTGGTGCAGGGTTTTGTTTCTTTTTATAATTCAAAAAATGGTGGTAAGGGTATAAATTGTAGAATAAAATCAACTAGTAACCATTGCTTAGTTATGATAACAGTATACCTACTCCCATCCTTCTTTGCTCCCTTTGCAGTCAGGTATTGACAACAATGACTATAACTTAATTTATGATCACTTTGAAAAAGTAAATCATGTTAAGTAACTGCATGGGAATGATGCTAGCTTACCTAAACTATATATTCTTAAAGTCTCCAAGTTTATAGCAGCAGGACATAGACAGTACAAAACAACTCCATTTACTAGATTTTAGTCAATGCCACTCAAAAAACTTGAAGCGCACAGAATAGTGTCCACCAAGATCACTAGAACAAAAATGAAACAGACTCAGTTATAGGGAACCCACAAAAAGATTCATCCAAGTCCGCACAAACAAAGTGCATAGACAAACTTACTAGAAAAATGATAGACCCCATCATTGATTCCAATAAACAAGCAGCAGAACACTAGGACTCGAATAATCTACCCAAAAAATGGGGGAAATCGAATTGGATTCACTAATTCTAATAGCTCGAGTTCAGAAGCGATAGGAAACTTAACAAATTGGAAATTCTAACTTGCAGGAAAGGGAATTGTATTCTAGGGTTTTTAGCTGAAAAACTAACTTCATATTTGACTTTACTAAAAATTATAGAGAGCGGAAAGGAAGAGGTACGAAACATTACCAAAGCGTTGAGCAGGAGATAGAGAGTGAAGGCTTAGAGGATAATTAGAGAAAAGGAAGGGCTTAACGACTGCTTTATTTGATTTTCAGTTGCACGGAAATCGGGTATCGATTTTCTGCAGATGTGTTGCTGTATTTCTCAATGAGCAGTGATAGGTGGAATGATTTGTTCCACAGCACGGCAATATGTTAATGTATGTAGTGGGCCATTTGACATTTGTAAAGCAAATTGTACATATAAGTAAAGCTGAGGGTAGTATGTGTACTGTGGTCTATAATTGGAGGAGGGTAAAGAAGTTAGCCCATGTATCACTATTTAGTTTTGAAATCATTACTGGAAACATCCCTCCAAAGCATTTGGGATTGTAATCCCTAAATCCAATGAAGAGCTCGGTTTACTAATGTATTTGTGGCTGTAGTGATGTAGCAACCAAGGCATTCTTAGAATGAGTGGGAGGAAGCAACGAAGTATGAAATCTGAGAAAAACTAAAACTGGTGAAAGGAATCTGTTAAGGGTTTAGATGCAGAAATGAAAATGGTGGATTGAGCTTTGGAACCGTGAATTGAGGCAATAGTGAGCTTACCTGTGCAAAGCGTTGTGCAAACTCGCCATTCTTACTAGTTTATCAACTATGGCTTCCTTATTACCCCCTCAATGGCTGTGATTTGATTATTTAATTCCAGAGTTTTTCTACCTTTCATCACCTCACTTCTTTCAAACGATCTCTACCTTTACAGAAGACATGTCGTTTTTTTGTTCCAAGTTCACTGCAATTCTCATTTGTCCCTCTTGTCTAAGGATGGCAGCCGGGAGAGAGGAGGGGGTACCCGCCAAAAATAAACTACCCGACCCTGAATCTGTTAAGAAATAAACCAATAATACCCAGACTCATCCCAAATCCGTTTAGAATTACACGCATACTACCCAAACCCGTTTAATCACAAATTTATTCGATCCAGAAAACCCAAACCCGCATGGTACCCGAATCCAAACCCGAAGTGCAATAAAAAATATATAAAAAATGCATTAAAATTCAACTTCAAAATAATAAATCAATTTAACATGTAATATTCTAAAACAACAGTACATAGTAATATTAAAATAGAACAAAAGAATTGAAATTCAACCTAAATAATTAATTCAAACCAATTTCAACCTAAATAATTAATTCAAAACCAATAATGCTCAATTAAACAATTTAACAATCAAACATCTATTAAAATTCAATAAGAATAATAACAATTGCAACTAAAAATCAATTAAAATATAGTATAATAATAACTAAACTTAACAAATTATCATAAGAATGAGAATAGAATGAGAACAAAATCCATGTAGAACATAATAAAAAGTATCTCAATAAAAAAAAATTACTGAATTAAAAAGTACATTAAAACAGAACAAAATTACAGTAAAAACACAAGAAATTTTACATAAACATACTTGAACTCCACTTTTTCAAGAACCAAGATTGCAAGGATTAACAACCAACATCATCTTCTCCCGCACAACAAACATACATTCGACTCCGCGCATGAACAAGAATCTGAAAAATAAATAAGAAAAAGAACTCCACTATCCAAGTCAGAAAAAATTTCAGCCCTATATAAATCACAAAATAATATATATATATATATATATATATAAATATATAATAACTTTAGCAGCAGAAAAACCAAACTAACTTTAGCAGCAGAAAACCAAACTTTATAAATCACAAAATTATATATATATATATAACTTTAGCAGCAGAAAACCAAACTTTATTAACAAACCATTCACAGTATATGACAATTATATGCAAATAATCTCATTCTCAGTATCTCTACACAACCTTAATCATTATTAACAAATCAAACTTTGAATTAAGAAACCAAACATGTCAGATTTCACTCATATAGCCACGAATTGGCTTATATTCACCATCCTTTTGCCTTTTAATATATATATTTTTTCAACAAATAAAACATGCACAAAACCCACAAGCGAAAAAATAAAACAATAAACATATATCTCTCGGCTGAACCCACAAATTAATTCCAACAATTTCTCCTCTTTGTCTGTTTATACGTATTTATATATAAAAAGAAAAAGAAAAAGAAAAAGGAAAAAGAACGAAGCAACACAAAAAAAAAAAAAAAAAAAAAAAAACTCGAGAACGAAAAATAAAAAAAATAAATCAAGAACGACCTGCTCTTGTACGCTTGAAGAGCACGACTGCTGCTGAGGCGACGGGAGTGTAAAGAAAGACTGCTGTAAAGGAGAGAAAGAGAAAGCGCAGAAAAAAAAAACTGAGAACGAAATAAAAATAATCAAGAACGAACCTGGCTCTTGTACGCTTGAAGAGCACGACTGCTGCTGAGGCGACGGGAGGTGTAAAGAAAGACTGGCTGTAGAAGGAGAGAAAGAGAAAGGCGCAGGTAGCGGGAGGTAGAGGAGAAACGCTGGACTTTGAGATGATCTTTGCCTGGATCGTTAAAATGGAACCCTAAGCTAAAACGACGTAGTTTTATCTGTGAGTTCATTCAAACCGCCTAAATCAAAACTAGGTCGTCTTGATGTTAAAATAATTAGTTTTGTTATTATTATTATTAAAGTTATTATTATTGTAGGATATCAATTAAAATAGATAAGACCATTAGCTAAATTATATTCAATCATAGCTAAAAGAGAATTTAAAAAATTATAATGTCTTACATCTTGGAAATATGCAAAAACAAAAATGTCTAAACCAACTCAAAAAAAAGTTTAATTGCAATTTGAACCATACTTATATGCACAAATTTGTATTTTTCTTTGTGCTTTAAAATAGCTTGTGGAGAAAATAATTGAATATTTTCATACATATGACTTAATGGAACAGATTATTCGATTTTTTTAATTGAATAATCAGAAAGAAAATCAAAAGAACCAATTTTATAAATAGTATTAACATCATGTGCTAAAACAAGGGTCATCAATATTTAAAGGCTTATTATTAGAAAAAAGATTTAGTAATCTGCTCATTTTGCCGATTAATAATCGTAATTAGAGAATATTGATTACTGGGCCAATCTTTGCGAGACCACCTATCACACGGCTGACCAACAATAGTCCAACAGCTTCATAATCACAATTAGTAATAGCTTAACTCGTAGATTTCTATATCTTCTTAATAATTAATCCGTAAATAGTTAATAACCTTACCCATACAACCTATAAAGATTAGGCTCTAATACTAGAAGGGAGCTGACTACAAGTGGAAGTTAGGAGGGACGGAAGAAGAGATGTATGTTTAACTTTAATTGTGGAGTTATAGTATTTGTTAGACTAAAATGGAAAGAAGAATAGAGTTCGGGCAAAGTAATATGATACACATAAGTAAAAATAATTATATCAATTAACTAAAGCAAAATAATAATTTAATCAAAACAAAACGGAGTTAAAACGATAATTATACAAAAGAAAACTTTATTACTTACAAGAAAAGAGAGTACAAAGCTTTTGAAAGAGCAGGGGATAGAGATAGCACAAGCACGCTTTTCCTAAAACATCTGCCTTTCTCATAACACACTTAGCTATTTATAAAAGATTATGGACTTCATTTGATTTAAAGTCCAATTAGCTATCATCTAATAGGATAAACCTTATCTATAAAAGATGGATAAGGCCTAATACAAACAAACAAGATAGGACCTAATACGAACAAAATAGGATAGGCCCTAATACAGACAAACAACTTTGCATATTTATATAATGACAGAAGGAGCCTGAGCCCTAATACAGACAAACAACTTTGCATATTTATATAATGACAGAAGGAGCCTGATAAGATAAGCAACTTTACTTGAACATATCTGATATTTACTTGAACTGAATAGACTTCAATCTATCTGATTTATATCATAACAATAATCTTCATGGAGTAGTAAGTAACTAGATGTGGCTTCATTTTCATCTTCGTCTTCTTGCGATACTTAACTATTTATATCTTGTAATATCTTCTTGAATTCTTCAATTGAACTGGTAGCGACGAGGGCAGCCTACCATTTGCTCTTATCTGTTAAGAAATCTAGATTCTTTGAATTTTTCGCTAAAGATAGATTTCTCTTTGAACTAAAATATCATTGAATGGGTTAAACACAAACTCGGGTCTAGTTGTAATCTTTCCACCATTTATCACTGAAAATTCTGACCAGCATAGGAGGAAAGGGTAGTGGTTGAACTTGTTTTATTTGATAATTCCATGATAAAATCTATGGAATCACAAAAGTAGCTGCGAATGAGAGTAGCTTATCTTGACCGAAATTAGTTAATTGTTTATCATAAAGCTCAAAGCCTTGTAGTATCTTTATAAGAAAAGTTTTAATTGAACATCCAAAATACTTGAACCATTCTTGAAACCAATAAGGAAATTCTGTAATTGAACCTCGTGAAATCATTATGAACCACGAATGATTGTGATTTCTTAATAAAATGCATTATACCAAGCTTTTTTATAATCCTCATAGTTGAAAGAACTTGGTACAAAGTTTTGACTAAATTTTCTCTCAATGTATGGATTCTGGTTCCAATCAGAGAGAGAGAAAATCTTTTTTATTTGAACTTTTGAATACAAAGCCTTTTTAACATCTTTTGGATCATGAATATGTTCCACAATTATAGAATCTGTATCAACTAATATAAACAAAGCCTTTTTAACATCTTTTGGATCATGAATATGTTCCACAATTATAGAATCTGTATCAACTAATATAAACTCATAAAATTTTCTATTTTTTGAAAGTGACTAGGGAACAAAATGGTAATTAGAAAGAAATACCTTTTGAGCGACTTCCAAAAAAATTGAACATTTTGTATATTCTTTTTCAATGTAGGTAATTGGTACATCTATATCGTTATTAACATAAGGATAAAAACTGTGGATGATGATGCACCGGTAAGGGAGTCATGGTAATTGGTTAGTCTATTTGTAATAGAAGTAGTTGAAGTAAAGGCTGTTATTGTTAATTGAGTAGTTGAACGTCCAGGTAATTGAGAAGAAATACTCACACTTTTTTTCCATAGTTTTCTCTTGTAATTTTATTCTTCATGGGAGTGTCTATTTAGTTTTGTATAACAAATTCTTCAGATAAAGGGAAAAACTTACTTGTTTCTATCTTTTCCCTGCAATAATTTGCGGGTAAGAAAATCAGGTAAAGAGTTAGAAGTACCTTTAATTGCTTCAACCTCAAAATCGAAACACGATAAAATGCTTGCCATCTAGTAAAAATTTGCTTTGAAACAATATTTTTAACATCATTTTCTAAAACGTTTTTGGCTGCTGAGCAATCAATTCATATTCCTTTTATTAATCAACTCATCTTCAAACTTTGTAATACATAAAACTATTGAAAGTAATTCCTTTTTAATAGTTGAAGAATTTGTTTGTGTATCATTCCATGCTCCGGAATGGTACCTAACTAAGGATTCAAAATACTGATTTGGTAATTTCTGTTTGAGAATACCTCCATAGCCTATATCTGATGTAATTAATTTCTATTATAAGAAATGAATTGGGATTTGGTATTGAAAGACAAGGAAGGCTTTTGACTTTAGACTTTATAGTTTTAATTATCTGGTTATGTTTCTCAGACTAGGAAGAAGAGTTTTTTCTTAACGTTTTTTCTTAACCTATTGAATAATGGTTGACATAAGATTCGAATGTCTTTCATGAAATCAGCAACATAGTTTAGATATCCCAAAAATCTTTGTAATTGATTTTTGTCATTAATTTCATCTGGAAACTTTTCAGTAGAATTAATTGATCTATTAATCGGTTTAATAATACCTTGAAAAATGTCATGTCCTAGAAATCTTATTTTAGTTTAAAATAATTTAACTTTTGGAGAAGAAGCAACTAAATCATTTTGCTTAACTATATTATAAACTTTTCAAATGAGAAAAATGTTGATCAATATCATTTGAATAAATAAGCACATCATCAATGTAAACTATTGAAAAATCATAATAATTGTTAAAAATGTTATTCATAATATTTTGAAATTCAGAAGGGACATTTTTCAAACCAAATGGCATAACATTTCACTCATAGTGACAAAAGGGACATTAAAACCAGTCTTGTACCTATCAGATTCATGTATTTGTATTTATCAAAATCCTGATTTCATATCAAATTTAGAAAATATATTTGCACTATGTAACCTTTTTGATAAATCTCTTTTATTTGGTATAGGATACATAATCCATTGTAGTACTTTATTTAAAGGTTTATAATTAATAACTAATCTGGGTGCTCATCTTTATATTTCTGCCACGTTCTGGACATAGAAGGCTGAACAACTCCAAGGGGATTTGGATTTTCTAATTAATCCTTTATCTAATAAATCATTTATCTCTTTGTAATAATATTCTTATAATTGTTTATTCATCTGTATAGCTCTAGATCTAGTTGAGATATTTTTCTTATCAAAATCTTTTCTATAAGGTAAATGAATTATATGTTGTTTTCTAGACCAAAAAGCATTCAGAATATTTGAACATACTTCTTTATTTAAAAGTTCTTTAAATTCTTTAATTTTTTATTTTATGTGGATTTGTTGTAGTTGATTTTCAATCCTAATGTTATTAATTTCTTGTTTCAAATAGCTAATATGTTTTTGTTATGTTTTTGTTTTTGTTCAATAAGATTTATAACTTTGTATATAGAAATATCTTGTATAGCACTTAAATCATTTTGTCTAATTGGTTGCATAAATTTAAAACATATTTGATTATTTAAGATATTTATTTTTAATCCTTCATTATGTACTTTAAAAGGATAAATAGTAGCTAAAAAAGGTGTTCCTAGTATGATTTATATAGTAAGATTTTTAAGTAAAATAAAGGGCGTTTTAAAACAAAAACCATCACTACATATTTTTGCTTTTGTTAACTTATATTCTACTTTTATCTTACTACCATCAGCTATGTATAACTTTTCTTTAATTAGTTGGAATTAATCCTTCTTATAAGCAATTTTGATCTACACCAGAGTCGACTAATGTACTCGTAGTTAAATGAAATCATTAATAACTACTATTTTAACTAAAATTAACAATTTTGATCTGCACTAGAGTCGACTAATGTACTCGTAGTTAAATGAAAATCATTATTAGCTACTATTTTAACTAAAACTATCATTTCTAAAAGCTTACTCTAGATATTACATTAGTAAACTCATCATAAGATAATATTTCAGCTAAATTATTAATTTTTCTATCTTTTGAGGGTTCTGCTTGAACATCTATAATTTTTTAATTTTTCTATCTTTTGAGGGTTCTGCTTGAACATCTATAATTTTATTAACTTGTAATTGAATGATATCTTGTTGAATTTTACTATGTTCTTTAATTGAATGATATCTTGTTTAATTTTACTATGTTCTTATTTTAATTCTTCTATTTCGCATTTAACTGCCTTAATCTCTCCTTGTAGGTCGACTAAAG